GTAGACATGTGTAACAGGGTAGAATCCATGGGCATCCATAGTACAGACGTTCTAACAAGTTAGCTTCAGATAAGTAACACAGAAACAATTTGTACTTGCTAATAACTATGAAAAATATTGTTTATTCAACACAGGGTCTATCCATGGCTAAATCTAGATGTTATTTTTTTAAGAGTGTTTTATCAACTGATTGTACGTAATGCAACCTTATCCTGAATAAAGAACAGTAACAATCAGAACAGCTACAGTAGCTAAGTGGACTTTGAAGAAGCTTAGCTGATCTAAATTTACTCTCTTATGTTAGTAGTAGTATTTCAGGGCCACCTTTTCATACAAAAGCGAAATATATTCAGATTAAACAAAAGCAACAGAATTCCTGGTCTAGAAATTTGGAAATGTAGCCGTGCAGTAATCTGCACGAAGAGACAGTTAGCTGTTCTGCTTTTATCAATTAAATCAAAATACAGGAGCTTTTCATTTACTCACTCAAGATTTTTGTTCATGCATGCAGCCAAAGATTTTTCCGAATAAATGTTAAAAATAAACTGAGCCAAAGGAACCTACAGTGTCTTCCTTGCACATTTCCTAAAAACAGTACATCAGTATGCTGCTAAGTGGCATCAGATTACTGAAGTTCAGTCACCTCTTCTGCCACATTCCGTCATATTGAATGTTTGGAATATTAAACAATAACTTCATTTTAACAAGCACACATTCATTTATTTGAATTATAACCTATCTTCTCTCGAGCACACACAGATACCATGCCTGGGACATAACAAAAGGTAGAATAGACTATAGGGTCAATCAAAGTTTTATAAATTTTTACGGCAAGAGGAATAACATCGAATGAAAAAGGTCCAAAACTCAGCATCTTCTGATGAAAAAACTTAATATTCTAATGAAATCATTCTTCACTACAAGAGTCAAAAAAACAGTTTAAAATGTACTTTTAGCAAAAAGTTTGAAAATATTCTAATCATGTCAGTATCTCTATAGTTTAAAAGAAGTTTTGTTTACATCAAAACATCAAGAAATGAGAGGCAGCCTAGAAACACCAAAAAACCAGAATGCAAGAAAAGGAAAAGGGACTAATGAAATACCAATCAATAGATTAGCTTCATAGAACATTGATTATGAATTTGATCTATGTACTGCATCAAATAAAATATGTGGATTCTTAAGTTATTTCTCTCCTTTAGACCTCTAGAGACAACACAGACTAATAAATTGATCTTTATATTGTTTCCACAATCTCCTGGAATTATATGATGTAGACCTGTGTTACTTATTTAGTTTTATTCTAAAATTAGCAAAAGAAATAAAACCCCAAGAATTCAAAGAACATGGACAACAATATCTTCATTCAATGGTCTATCAACTTTCATTAGATGAATTACCAGACAGAGCAAAAAGTTTATAACCACCTGCAGCTGCTGCCACTACAAGCTACTGGTTACTCTCCTATCCCTTTCAGACAAGTACTAAATGCAATTTCAAGAATTAACTAACCGGAAGAACTTACAAAGAACAAAAATACTTCAAATTAATTAAATCACTATTTATGTTCTGATAAGAAGTTTCAAAATCAAAAAGGTGAGTAGGCCAAACCCAGCCTGGCTTCTAGAAAACTAAGGACAAGGGTTTTTCTGGCACTCTTGTTAAAACACCTTGCATAGGAAGCCCAGTAAGAATCCCATTACCAAACTGGAGTAGAGCTCTGGGGTCATTTCTTGTTTGCTTTCCAATTGCTAAAGAGAATTCTGCAAAAAGGAGTGAAAACAAGGCAACAGCAAAAACAAGGCAAAAAGAATACAGTAACCAGTAACATTTTTACCATCACATCTATGTTTGAAGACACTAAAGTCCCCAATCTACTGGAAATATAATCAACAAGTGGGTCACTTTTCAAATTACCTAAGACACACAAAGATAAAAGAGCTTAGTATTACTAATTTTTACCAAATGCTATCATAACATGGCTTCAAACATTACAGATGTTAAGAAGTATGCCAGAGACGGCATACCAGGCTGCAGGAGCCTGGCTGGCACAATCATCCTCATTGCTGTTGAACCAAGTGTCTGCTTACTTTACCTAGGGTCACTGATACAGGTCCCATTATCCACCAACACTGCCCTACCGCTCCCAAGAGCCAGGGGCAGAACGCACACATACATTTCCCTGATGCAAGATCAGGCAACAAATCATTAATTACCTAAACCATCAGATTCTCAACATTCTGACTGAATCCTACATACCTGCTGCTACTGCAGCAGACACTTCTGCTACACAGGCAGAAACAAAAATCTGAGGGCACAGGGACACCTTAAACTTCCACAGTTGTGCTCTAGGTGAACATATGTCACTGCCAAGCTGTCATGGGTTTGCCATTTCTCTTCTAGAGTTTGTCAGTGCATCTGTGCCAGCCAAGTCTTCTTGTGAAAAATCACTTTAGGTCAATAGGTGTGTTCAGTAGGAATGTATGTCACATCAGTTTTTGAGGATGAAAGATAAAAAAGTACATTTGGCCTGAAGTTGTGTCAGGGAAGGTTTAGGTTGGATGTTAGAAAAAGATTCTTCACCCAGAGGGTGGCTGAGCACTGGAACAGGTTCCCCAGGGAAGTGGTCACAGCACTGAGCCTGACAGAGCTCAAGGAGCATTTGGACAAAGGTCTCAGGCATATGGTGTGACACTTGGGGATGGTCCTATGCAGGGCCAGAAGTTGGACTTGATGATCCTCATGGATCCCTTCCAGCTCGGGACATTATGATTTACTTTTTGCAGAGTGACATCAAGTCAAGGTTTTTTTCCTCCAACAAATACATTTCTTATAACAAGAATTTTCCAATAATTTTTCTGATGGACTGACCTTGGAAAAACTTTAAATACTGACCATGCCTTTTCACCCATTCAGCTAAACAAGGATATTTTCCCCACACTTCCTTTCTCACAGAATTATACACAGACATATGACATCAAAACGTTCCTATTAGGGAAGGGGAATAAAATACCAGGAGTTGTGAATCAAGTACTTGTTTACCAGATCCACCTGAAAAAACACTCCTCCCTTCTTTGGATGCCTCATATAGAATACAGCTACAACTAACATTACTCCTTGAATGCCAGAAGTATTCCCCCCTGGTTGGAGGTTGCTTTCACACACAGCTTTGGATTTCACAGAATCACAGCATCAGTTAGGTTGGAAAAGACCTCTGAGACCATCAAGTCCAACCTTTGACCTAATCACTATCATATCAACTAAACCATGGCACTAAGTGCCACATACAGTCATTCCTTAAATACCTCCAGGGATCATGACTCCATCACCTCCCTGGACAGCCCATTACAATGTTCAACAACCCTTTCTGTGAGGAACCTCCTCCTAATGTCCAACCTAAACCTCTCCTGGCACAGCTTGAAGCTATATCCTTCTCTGCTGTTGTTCAGTGCCTGGGAGACAAGCCAACACCCACCTGACTACAACTTCCTTTCAGGTAGCTGTAGAGAGTGATAAGGTCTCTCCTCACCCTCCTTTTCTCCAGGCTAAATAATCCCACTCCCCTCACAGGACTTGTGCTCCAGACCCCTCACCAGCTCCACTGCCCTTTTCTGGACACACTCCAGCCCCTCAATGTCCTTTCTGAATTGAGGGGCCCAGAACTGGACACGGTACTCAAGGGGCAGCCACACCAGTACAAGCACAGAGGGACAATCACTGCCCTGGTCCTGCCAGCTGCACTATTTCTGATACAGGCCAGGATGCCATTGGCTTTCTTGGCCACCTGGGCACACTGTTGGCTCATGTTTAGCTGTCAACCAGTACCTCCAGATCCTTTTCCACTGGGCAGCCTTCCAGCCACTCTCCCTCAGTCTGCAGCACTGCATGGAATTACGGTGACTGAAGAGCAAGACCCAGCACTTCACCTCATTGAACCTCATACCTCTGGCCTTGGCCCATTGAGCCAGCCTGTCCAGATCCCCTGCAGAGCCTTCCTGCCATCCAGCAGACCGACACTCCCACCCATTTTGTATGAAGCACGCAATTAGTCAGCAAAGTTTTCACTTATCATTTGTCCCCGCCTGCTCTTGGGACTGTAGTGCCAAAGTGCACAGCGCAGCCAGGTCAGCTCCTCACGGCCGCTTCCAGACGCTGCAGATGCTTTGTCCTGTAAACAAGCTCAGAACCAACCCCCGATCCCCCTGAATTCAGTTCAGGTAGCACTGGGACATAAGACGATTTGCATATGCTGCTGCACGTACAAATAAAGCTAAACAGAGCTGGGAACAAATTTGTCCATACGTCTGCCTTATCAATAAATTGGTTTTAAAGAGTAAGTTTACTGTCACATGACGAAAACAGGGGGTCTTGCGTTTTCTAACGCCTATGTTGGCATGGAGGTCTGTGTCGATGTATGCAGATCCATACATACACATACACACACATGGACACAGACAGACACATACACACACCCGCGGCTCCTCCCGCCCTCACGTAGTTTAAAAGCGCAGCCGAGGGGGGGACCAAGCCCAGCGGCTCCCCCGGGACCGGCGGCGGCAGCGCCGCCCGCACTCCCACCCGTGACCGCCGCCCTCCTCGGACCTCGGCGGGGCCGGTACTCACAGAACCCGTTGGAGCCGGTGCTGGTGAACATGGCAGCGGCCCGGCCCGGCCGGCGGGCGCGGCTGGCGGAGCCCCCGAGGCCGGGCAGCCCCCCCGAGGCCGGGCAGCCCCCCCGAGCTCGGGCAGCCCCTGCGGAGCCGCAGCGGGCCGGGGCCAGGGCCGGGGCCGGGGCCGCGATGGGGAGGGCTAAGGTGGCCGCGATGGGCCAAACGCCGCCGACAGGCGACCGGGCGGCGCCCCCTGCCGGGCCCGCCGAGCGGGCCTGAGGGGGGGGGCCGGGGGGGCGCTTCAGTCTTATCTGTAATTAATTACTTGTATCTTCATAAATAGGAAGAACTTCTTTTTGTTGAGGGTGGCAGAGCACTGGAGCAGGCTGCCCAGGGAGGTCGTGGAGTCTCCCTCCCTGGAGACACTCCAAACTCACCTTGACGCGTTCCTGTGTCACCTGCTCCAGGTGACCCTGCCTTGGTGACAGGTTGGACTGGATGGTCTCCAGAGGTCACTTCCAACCCTAACGATTCTGTCATTCAATATGATTTAAATTTGAAATATGTATGTGCCTTAAAGAAGCCCGACTCCTCACGCTTTGGAAAACTGTGGCCCTCGAGGCTCATCCTAATTTGGGGAGTCCGCCAGGCAAGTAGCTCATTAGGAGCTGTGAGTAAGCTGTCATTACAGCTAACGGAGATGTAGTCAATACAGACGGCAGAGTCTGGAGAGCTTTTCAGGTGATCAAATGAAGGTGTCTGCTTTAGGATTAAATTAATTGCTACGTACGCTGCACCGGCTGTTATCGAACAGATCACCACTGCCTCTAATGGTACATCAGACACCCAGCTCTCTAGCAGCATGGTAGACATCCAATGTAAGGTAAGACAAATTCCTCATTTCATAGAGATGTGGCGTAATAAGGCTGAAATTATTCAGGCACCAAATTTCAATGACATTTTCAAGTCCTTGTAGAAATTAAACTTTATTAAAGTAAGTTATGCTAAGCATTTAAAAGGTGATGATGTTCTGCGCTGTGTCAGGAAGAAACAGGATGAGGTTTGTGTGCTGTGTGTTCCTGTGCATGACAGAACTGAGGGCCTCAAGGTCATGTTTAGCTTACTGCACTACTAGACTGAGAACAAATGTCACTCTAGAACTGGAAAATGTGACGTGTCAGCTAGGTAACAATTTTTAAGCAGGCAACAAATAGTAACAACTTTTCAGGGAAGTCACTAAATTGTTGTATTGCATAAATTTTTTTATATACAACAAAAAACTAAAATACCTTTTAATATTTACATTCAAATGCAACTACCAAATAGCACTTTAAATGTGAACATCCTGAATCTTTGTAAACCAAACCTCTTGAACCCAAGGGGTTTTTATGACCCAAGGGGTCATAAAAAAATGCCTTATGTTTGGGTTCACAAAGGCTTAAGCTAAGTTCAGCATATCAGCATGTAATTTTAAAATGTACAGCTTCCAGCATTAATTTCGAATTTCTGTTGCTCCCTTGTCCTCTCTGTACAGGGCTTCAGTCAGCCAGATAGGAACTGGATTCACAGTCCGCTCACAGAGAGGGAGGTATGCCTAAACCAGACAGAAGGAAGAGAGACAAAGAGACAGCACGTTGGAAATCCTGACTACCCCAGGCTGAGGTTCTTTCCCCTGAAAAGAATCTAAATTGGATTCACAGCATGAAACCTATCGTGTACTTTGCGTCTCTGGCTACAGACAACTGGCTTACTCTTTGCTGGTAAGCACAGCTGGAAGAAGTGCTTTGCTACGGAAATTTTCCTTCTTTCTTTCAAATGCAAATGGCTCTGGCTGCTGTATGCTACATATGCAAACTCTGTCTTGCCAGGGTGGGTGCTGAATGTGCAAAACCATACATAAGTGACAGGCAATCATCATTTCTAATGAAAGGGAATGTAAATAAGGAGGTGCAAAGCCTGCATAGCTTGTAATAGTTCCAGCATGAAACTTTCTTTGGGAAAAGCTGGGGTGCCTCCTGAAGCTTTAGGGATCTAATGAGGTATTCATAGTTTACTTAATTATCATTTTGGACTTTTTTGACTAACCTTCACTTAAAGTAATTAAGCCTTTTTGTGAATCTGGCTTTAGTACAGGTGAGGTTAAAACCTGAAAACTTTTCCAGCATTGCCTGTGTAATAGGCTTAGGATTGCTGTTTCAGTGCTGAAGATAAAGCTTGCTTTTATTTCTTTCAGAGTTACACAGAATTGAGAGACAACATTTAGAAGTTTACAGTCCTGAGAGCCAAGAACTAGTGTTCTTTTTTTTATAAGCTCTGTTTTGAAGACTTCTCTAGATTGATGTCCTACAAGGTAATCATATTAGAGGGATTCTCCTCTGCCACGTCAAGCACTGGAATTGGATTGAAGTCATAATCACTAAGCATAGTAGAGACTTGGGCATGTATTCTGCTGAACGGGGATGCATTTGGGCAAATATTTAAGGACTATTTTGAAAGCAACTCTATGGACTTGTTATCACTGACAGATAGAACAGAGCTGAATGAGTAGCAATAATTGGCAAGATTCTCCCAACAACATACCAAAATACTTGCAGATTTGTCAATACCACTGGAATAAAGGGAGCCGGCTCTGAATGTTTTTGCCACTCTGTTATTAAAGTCTACAAATATACTATGGAGTATTTGTGGAACATCTAATGATGTCCTTTGTTTCTAAAAAAGGTTTATTAAGTCAGTTTTTCTGGGATTAGATCAGGTGAGATTCACTATGTGTTTTTGGGAAAACTGCACACCCCTTGCTAATAATTATAGTTTCACATACTGATTGAATAGCAGAGGAAATTTAGTTTTTGCCCTCAGATACAGTGCCAAGCAGGGAGGATTTTTTCTACCCCAACACTGCTTCTGTCAACTGGTAGAATTAAGCAAATTATTTGCATTTTTAAGTATACAGTGTTGACTACTTTGGAGTTAACTGAAATCATCAGTCCTCATGCTTGCCTTGGAACATATCCCAGAATAGGAAGGCTAGCACTTATCTACTAATCTACTCAGAACAAGCTTAGAAGGCTTTGACACTGCTCAAATGTCAGCTTAAATATCTCCCATTTGTTTATTACATCTGGTTTGTGGGGTCAGTTTGGTATGGTCAAAATAAAGTTATTTAAATTTCCTGCTGAAACCAGGAGACTGGAATTTATATTTCCAACTATTTTCTAATAGTAATTTTCTTCTCTGAACTTGTGATGTTTTTGAAGCACCTCTTAATTACTAATTAATCTCCAACGGTCAGATGCTCCCCTGGCATATATAATGAAGGATAGCAGCAGAGTAAAACAAAGTGGAAATGTAACACCTCACCCAGGAATTTTCTGACTAAACTTGGTGCAGGTTAATGATTCTGCAGGTTAATGGCAAGTGGTCTGTGTCTCTCTGACATCTGAGGTTTCCGTGGCATTCAAAGTAGCACCTGCAGTTACTACAGTGACCTGAAATATGAGCAGATACCTGAAGAGAGGTTAATGCTAAATTTAATGATTTCAGTAGCTTCTCCCTGCAGTTTCTAACCCTCGTCTTCAGTTACAGAAGATGTTAAAGAAGAAAGCTGTGCACCATACAAACCCTGCAGAGCAGAGTTCAGCTGCAGTGCAGCTTGCTGATAGCAGCTTGCACAGCAACAGGAGGAAGGGCAGAAGGCAAAGATTCACTGGGCTAAAATCAGACTGATTTGTCCTGTACCTTTACAAAATTAGTGAATGTCTCTCAATCCCTCGGAAGTGAACAAAAAAACTTTGTACTGTGGCAGACCTGCTGTCCTCTTAAACTGTAGTGTGTTCTTTTTATTACATAACTCTTTGGGTTTTTTATTATAGTTAGAAGATACAGAACATTTTCTAGCTTAGTTCTCTCCATGTAGAGCTGGCGGGCTTACAGTTATGTGGGGAGCAATGGAGTGGCTGAAGAAGGAACCTTTAAGTGTTTCTTAAATTCTAAAGAAGTGTGCAAAAGAAGGCAATTTAGTGGAAAAAATGGCAAGAGTATTGATTTTTGTCTGTTATTTTTGCAATAGTGTGATTTTGCATCACACTATTATAAAAAATGTAGAGTGCTCAACCGTTTTACATTACCTATGGTTCTAGCCATGAGGTTTTTTGCAAAACTGTAAATGCCATGTTAAACCTGAACTCCTTGTCAATGTTTAGTAATACAAATATGTGGACAACTCTTGCGCCAATAACTCAAACATAACTCACACAGAACTGTCTGTTTTTTCAGCGGGAACCTCTGGATGGTAGGCAATCACAGTACAATACCAGTTTAAGATACTGGCTTATCTGGAGCTGAGCCATGAAGAGTTTTACACTGGAAATCTTAACCATCACTTCCCTTTTAACTGTCGACCAGGTGATCCTAAGCACTCACACCACATGCACCCATATGGTGGCATCTCTGTCCAAGGTGCAGCACCAAACACTTGATCAGCAGCTTTGTCTCTTAAGTACTTGTAAAACGCTCCCTTAAAGATGTCATACTTAAATTCTCTATTTATTTTCAATAAATTTATTTTCAATAAATTTATTTCAATAAAGGTTGAGATTTTGTGCAAAACAAGAACATACAGTAGCATGATCAGGAATTAAATTCTAATACAAATATATTGGGAAAGCAAGTTTAAGATAGGCAGATTGATTCTGAATTTGCTTAACTGTTGATTTTCATCTGAGTTTTTAATGTTTTATGTTCATATTTCATTTCACTTGGGTGAGACCTCATTCTTGTGAGAATTAAAAATACACTGGTTCAGCTACTACTGGTTGAGCAGCTGTCACTGCATTTTTAGATCATGCATCTGAAGGCCACTAATTTACTGCAAGGTAAATTGTGAAACATAGTAAGCATTAACAAAATGGTGATGTTAAAACGTAGTGCTCAGAAGACCCAATTAAGAAATCCATTAGAAGGGCAAATAATTATGTATAGTATTGCATAACACAATGTAATTTGCATATCTGTGTTCTTTAGTGCATAGAAGAGATCAAGAACCAGTCATCTATTTCAGACTGAATTTATGTGAAGGAGTAGCTTTGAGATCTGGAGCATATGCTAGATTACCCAAGATAACTATCAGCGATAGCAAGAAACCTTAAATCTTTAATATGCAGAAAATGAGTTGCATTGTTCTGCACAGGTATGGCTGTGCTGAAATTGCCTATTCTGAAAATTAGATTTTAGAAGATATTTATAGGGGTATTCAAAGGCCTTTTTCTCCCTGATACCTATCCATATTTCTCAGATATCATCCCCCTCTTGCTTCACATCTGTATTGTAGTGCTATCTGTGTATCTCCACACAGTTTAAAGGTTATTAAATGCCTGTATTAACACTTGGAGGCAAATCTGTGTTTAAGAGAATACCTGGCAACCCACATCTTGATGTTATCAGGCCTGTAGCATAACATTGCTGAGAGATTAGAAAAACCAATAAAGCTTTAAGCTGTTCTCCTCCCCAAATGCCATTATCTTATTTGTATTTGTGTTAAATTTGAGCATGAAGGAAGTCTCACCTTTTTTTCCCTAGTTACCCATATCAGAGGAAGTTTGCGTTCATGTAATTTTATTGAAATACAGTGATTCCTCAGAAAATCTTGCAAAAAGTTAAAGGATGTTCACTCCAGAAATGTAGTGCACAATATTTGCAATACAAGTGTGTACACCTCCAGGAAATAAGCATTCCTGGGGTTTCTTTTGACCTCCATAAATATTAGTAAGGGCAAGGTTAGGTGCAAAAAACCTGTAGCATACAAAAATGTAAAATTTTGCCCAGCTGAGGCCATTAAATTGCCATCGGAAAACTAAACTGCTTTTCATTATCAGAAAGAGAAACTACTGTAAAAACAATTGGTATATTGATAAATCACATTTAAATACAGCTGAGCTATTAGAAACACAAAAACATGGGTTATTACAATTATTCTTGATTCTATACTGCCATTATCTGTTTGCTGCTACATCGTTATGCTAGGGAGATTTCTAAAACTGAAGACTGGATCTAGTCTAAGACTGAAATATGAAACTAATTAAACACAAAATTTGGCATCCTTACTTTTCCTTTATTTTTCTTCTCTGCACATAGGAAGTATTTCTTGTTTTTCTTACTGATCACAATTTAATATACTTCAATATGTTTTTAAAATACCTAGAGCACTTTATAAATTGGTGTACTACAAAAGTCTGTGTTTGTGGGGCCAGTTGTAGCAGAAATCACCACCTGTGGCAAAGAAATCTTTCCTGGCATGATGATGCAGTCAGCTGCCACTTTAGGCTCTTCCTCACCTCACCCACGAGGTGGGACAGTGCCACTTTTCTGGTCAGCTGGCACAACAGTGAGAGGAGTTTGCCAAGACAGACTTGACTGGGTTGTTAAACCAGATAAACGAGCACTGACCTTTTGTGCCACCATAATTTTCAAAGTAAACCCCAAAATACCTGGATGATGATGCACCCAAGGGACCTCTCCACATGGCCTTCAGTCTAGACAGACCAGCCTGGGCTTCAAGCCTCTGTGCACCTGGGTGGCTTGGTGGCTCCTCTGAAGCAAAAACCCAGGGGAAATGAGACAGCAATCAGGAATTCATTGCAAAAGGAGGAACTGGAAGGCCTTATTTCAAGGGGTGTGTAAAGCACACCATTAATCTTTTCTGTTATTACACACACATGCTGGAGCTCTTGCCACACAGACTCTGGGGACACAGGCAACTGCCCGTGCTGGGCAGCTGGAGCCCAGGGACATTCCAAGTGCTCATATACTGATCTGACAGTTGTGCCAAAGGTTGTGTCAAGGCCATTTCTGGTCCTTAAGAAACAGTGATGGAATACTAAATCAGCTCATACTAGAACTCAAGTTTATTGCTTTGTCCCTACTGTAAACTGAGTTAGCAAGCTTTTTAAGCAGGAGAAAAACAAATCAGCAAGGTCAATAAGTACGTACTCTTTTGTACATACAAAACATGCATTCACTGTAGCATTTTTTCCTTAAGTATTTGATCTCTGGGTATATATACTAATAAGTATGTATTTTCAACACAAGTCATGTTACACAGATGACAAGAAAGGGTTAGTACAAATACTGGTTTACTTCACAAATACCAGACAGGACACTGCTGTTGATTAATTTTGTATGTGAATTTTGTATGTGAATGTTGAGAAGAAAGTTTTCTTAGCCATTTTCCTATGGCTTTGATTCCAGATTTCAGTGTAGCTAGTCCTTCCACAACAGCATGGTTGAGGTCTCAATAAAAGATTATTTGAGCATATTATCCAATCAATATGAGTAATATTTGATATGTTTGTACATAGAGGAGAAGCAGCTTGAAAGCTGAATTCAGCAGTAATGATCTTGCTAGTGACATGTACATTTGGGGGCAAAAATTAGGAGTTTGTATCCTAGGCTGCATCCTACAAATCCCAGAAATTTTGCTTGCTCGTAGGTAAACTCTTTTCATCTAAAGATAGACACCATGTCCAGGAAAAGCACCAGTTTGGGGCTTAAGTATCTGCATTTGATGCAACACTTGACATGTGTCAGTACATCACACTGTAAAACGGGAAAGAATAAACATTCCAAAAAAGAAGAGCATGTCGGACCCAAGTGATTTATGGCCTGATTCAAAGTGCCCTGAATTCATCAGCGAGAAGCCTGTTGTGTTTTCAGCAGGGTTTGGCTCAGATGGGTGCACTTTAAACTTCCAAACCACAGGCAGTACAGCGGCGAGCTGGGGCAGATGGAAAGTGGCCGTCACAGCCGGGATGATTCAGGGAACAGATGGGCTCTGCCGCGTTCCTGCTTTGTTTTGAGAGGGGAGCGGGAGGATACATAGCTGACAGCGAGTGGGAGGCCACCTTTGCTCTACATGGATGGCGATGGCATGAACGGAGATAGTAAGGCAAGAACAAAAAGAAAAGAGAGGAAGGGAGTGGTCCAAGGGGAAGGCTGGGTGGAATGTGCGGAATTAGCACAGGGTGGAGCAAGAGACAGGATTATAAAACAGAGGCACGTTTGGGGTTATGCAATTTGGCAGGTCTTAACCCCCGACACAGGCGGAGGAGGAATCCATAAAAAGCCCTGAGGAGGAGAAGTGGCAAAGGGAATTGACAGGAAAGGTAACACCAATAAAATGGAGCCCAGGTGATCTGCACAGGGTGGTATGATGACTAAAAAAAATAATTTTAAAAAAATTTGCTGAATTATCTTAAGGAATTCTGGTTTCCTTGTTTGTCATATACACAGAGTATTTTTTCTGTAAGTTCATGCAACAAAAGGGTTTTCTGAGCTGCTCTATCTAGGATGTCCTGTATCCTGAACACCTTCATGTTCCACACAGGATACAGAAGTGCAAAAAGTGTCTTTCCTCTGTAAAATGCAAATGTTGTAGCACTCTGAGTGTGGCTGTAGGCAACACACAGCAAAGCCCTTCAAATAACATGCAGGTAAGTAACTTTTCTTGGGGAGTACTCATCAATAAATGTTTTGCATATTTGCACACACAGAACCACAATACACACAATCCATAATCTGTGAGCTAAGATAAGGGGGCGCTGGGAGGCCAGCTAACAAGGTCGACATACTGTTCCAGCAAAAACCCCTACTGTTTAAAAAGTCATTTTGTCTGATATTGGTGTTTCTGTCATGGAAAGTGCTTAATGAAAACCTGGGCTGGTCATCAAGTGACTATTTCATAGTAATCAAAAGTAATGACATGCTAAAAAGCCCTATCAGCAGCCTATGAGAATGAACCCTTCCTTGATACAAGCAAATAATGGGAAGAGATCTAATTGTGCTGTTAAAGAAAAATCCTAATGTAATTTAAAACTCAATTATATAGACTTTGAACTGAAACTTGATGACTCACCAGTGTTTTGGTGATTATTACAAGCACTCCGAAGGAAGTTTCAAAGTTCTTTGCAAGTAAAAGGCTAATACTTTCTAGATCCAGGGAGTATGCAACCTGGCTTCTCCCCTCTCTGAAAAAAGTTCAAGGAAGAAAATCAGTAAGTGGATCACTTCATTCAAATGGCATTGTGTAACCAGCTATGGTAAGAATGTAGGGTGAGGCCTGAGAAACACTTTATCGACATGGAAAATTATAAAAGGTGTGTGTCTGTCATCACGTATTGGATTTCTTCATTTTGTCTTGCTGATATAGTAACAACCAAGATGATTTTCTCAGATATAGCCATAATTAATAAGGCATTGGCCTGAATTCAAGATAAGAGTGTTTTAGACCTTTAAGAACAGAACTGAGATCCAAAGGGTTAGTAGATTAGTCACTGCTGAATGAAGAACTTCAAGGATTTAATTAGAGCGTGGAAAAAAATCAGGTAGACTTTCACAGTGGGCAGAGGTAAAGGTGGAGTGTCTTCTCTTTTTTCAGGTTGTCAGTCTAGCAGGAAAGATGAATTCATGAGAAAAAACCAGTAACCACTGTCAAAATCCGGGTGCTAATATTGCCTTGGCCAGACTGCAGCAATTATGATCCCTCTGTCAGCACCCTGTCTGGCTTTCCCACAAATCCGAGAAATGAAGGAGATCTGAATATATTTACAAATAATAATTTAGCCAAGGAAAAAAAAAAGTAACTCGAGATTTTGGCCTATTTGAGATGATTAAACAACAGATGTTGCTGTCTCCTGCAAAGCTTTATTGACCAATAACCCTACCCCCTTAAATCACAGTTTACAAATGAGTGTCTTGTTTTTTATTCACAGCATGATAACAAAATGGGGTAGTCTGTCTGATAAATCACTCCAAGCCTAGGAATCTTTGTGGACAGATATACTGCTTTCATAATCAAACTGCCTTCTGACCCAAAAGGGATTATTTCATCTCTTTCTTGCTGTGACAGTGCTCATATTTTGACTAATTGTATCCGCATATTCCCACTGCCAAGCATGAGGGAGCTGGCTGCTAATGTGGCTGTGTCACAGTTTCTTTGCATAGATACCTGTCCTTTCAATCACCCATGCTGTTTTCTGCCAAGAGAGAAGCCTAATTAAATACTGTAGGCTCAAAAGAATGAAAATGGAAGTGTGGCCTCATAAGCCTATACCACTTAGACACGCACAAGTCTATGGGCCTGGATGGGATCCACCCAAGAGCACTAAGGGACCTTGCGGAAGTTGTGACCAAGCCATTTTTCACCATTTACCAGCCGCCCTGGGTCAGTGGTAATGTCCCAGTTGACTGGAAGTCAGCAGATGGACTCCCTGATTACTAAATGTAACGCCCGTCTACAAGCAGACCAGAGGGAGGATCTGTGGAACTACAGGCCTGTCAGCCTGACCTTGGTGCTGGGGAAGTTCATGAAACAGATGATCTTGAGTGCCATCATGCGTCATTACCTAATTAATATTGCTGTTCTCCCTCTCTCCCATACAGTAGGTTGTTAAAGTCTCTCTGGTGATGGCTACCAGCCACACAGCACAGCTGGTAGAAAAAAAACATGTAGATTACTACTAGGAAAAATTTCTCCATGGAAAGGGTTGTCAAACATTGGAACAGGCTGCCCAGGGAACTGGTTGAGTCACCATCCTTGGAGATATTTGAAGGATATGTAGACAGGGCACTAAGGGACATAGTTTTGTGGTGGACTTGGCAGTGCTAGGCTGATGGACTCAAGAATCTTAGAGCTCTTCTTCAACCTGAACCATTTTATGACTGTGTGCTGTATCACAGAAGTACCAGGGGCCAAATGCCTCATTCACCCTCTTCCTATATCAAGTGACCTTTTTTAAGGCTTGCTTCTGTGTGGAAACTCTTGTGCAATAGCTATGAGACATAATTAGAGTTTAATTACTATTTAATACCTACCCTCTGCATGGACTTTCTTATTTTACAAGAAAAGCTGCCTTGAGGTTTAGCATAACCTAACACAGAATAACTTTTGCACAGAAAACAACAGCAAAAGACCCAATGTTATCACTTGCTACACAGCATCTTTCCGGCATTCGTTGTTTCAGGCTTCTCCTTCTTGTAAACACATTTGGTGGAATTTTTCATAACCTATCCTTACCAAACAGCAGAATTTATTTGTCTCAGACACTTGTTATCAATCCTAATTAGAACGTATTCTGGAGCACTGGATGAGCAGTCTCAAACACATGATTTATTATCTACTAGATCAATCTTAAGCAGAGAAGGATTTATACAGGGATTCACAAACAGTAAACTCAAAAGTGACTGAATCAAGATCAGGATGTCCATTTTAGAAAGGATTTTGAGGTGTTACATTAACCAAGGAATTGGTATTCACCCAGATGGAAAAAAAAGGATCCAGAGTGCTCACTGTTTTAAAGGGCTCTTCCTTAGAAGAGAAAGAATGCATGAAACAAATACAGGAGAGTTTTTAAGTCTGGGCTCAAACACCAGGAAAAAATGCCTTGTATGAAGAAGGAAGTCTGAGAAGGAAAGATTCTGGGCATTATGCTAGCTGGGACATGAGGTCCTAGATAGGCCATTGGTATTTACAGGAATTATGGAATGAAGGAAAGTTGAGGTGTATGAAGACAAGTATGCTGGCCAGTGTCTTCTTGCAGACACACGTGATAAAAAGAAATCAAGGGACATGCAGGCATCTCCCCTCTGACTACATGAATATGCTGGGAACAAGGCAATGATGGTAAAAAGGCTGCTCTCCAGTGTAGGTTTACAAGTGGGAATCAAATGTGTCATCTCTAGCTGGAACTTTGTCCAGGTGATTGAAGGGGCTTAAGTACTCACTTACCTAGTCCACCATTACCTTCATCAATACTACTCCATGAGAAGTGTTACCTTACACAAGAGAGAGATTCCATGGTGCTGTACTGCTCAGCTATTTCATGTCTTACACATGCAGCCTGGAAAACCCCCTGACCTGTGAATGTAGCACTCAGAAATGGTTGTTTCTGCATCCTGGGTCAACAGCTTCGATGGCTATATGGGAATTTTTCCTTTACTGCAAACCCATGATACTCTCAGGCACATGGTGTGACTCCTGGGGATGTGTGGGGGCTGTGCAGGGCTAGGAGTTGGACTCGATGATCCTTGTGGGTCCCTTCCAGCTTGCCATATTCTGTGATTCTGTGGCTAGATTACATGGTGGCTCTACTTATTTCCATTTCAGTTTTGGCTGTTGCTTGTGCAGATAAGTACTCAACTATTATGCAAAGGTAAAGGTCTGATTCTCCTTTCAGGTTAATGTGACTTTAGATTCAAATTTTTTAGACATATATATATATATATACACACATATATATATATTGCTCATTACAACTGACAGCAACAGCCCTGGACCATAAATTATTTGTCCGGAGTACAGACACTGGTAGCAACATGTGTTTCAGTACCTTCCTTTGCCATTCTACCTTAGTACTGAAGACTGCAAAATGGAATAGTAGCCCAGATGTATTACAACATTCTGTAATTTTATTATGGAATCTACTATTTTTTGTGATCTTCTTTTAACCCCAGAGACTGAAATCCATATATTTCCTGAGAATCCTTGCTTTGATTTTTCCAAAGGGAAAGCTTTGAGGTCATGACATTGCAAAGAAAGCTCTGAAAAATGTGCTGCAAAGCAAGAAAACACCAAAAATAGTAACAGGCACTTTATTATCTGTTGAGGCTTACTCATGTGTTTTGGGAAATGCAGTTTGCAGTATTTTGTAGGGTCACCTTTGTCCTACTTCACCTATGCAAAAAGATAATCATAAAGCATTACTACTCTTATTTTGTAAGAGTAGTAATGTTCTCTCATCCTGATCAGCTATGCAAAGGATACAGTAATGGTCCTGTTGTGTTTTCTGAAACTTCTTGGGCAAGACCACTGGTGATGTTAAAACGCAGTTAACTCAGCTCTTCTTTGGGGAGATCAGAAAGGGTCAGAGGTATCAGGTCAGAAAGTGATTAATTTTAAGAAATTAATTATGCCTGTACATTCAAAATAGCTGAAAGTATGCAGAAACTCTGTGCTCAGACTTTACCTTTACTTGTGTAGATATTCTGGATGGTATCATCTAGCCATTGTCTTGATGTGTACAGCTGACATCCCTCTTGCTATTTGTCCCTTTTGAAACAGAGAGATAAGAATTCTTCAGAAACAATGAAGCAATTCAGTTTGGACAAAACGTCAAAGGGATGAGGTACTTTTAAAACAAACCTGTCAGCCTCCATGACTGGAATGGAGAGCGGAATTTTTCAATGACATGGAAAATGAAACAATCCAACAAATCTAACAAAATTGGCCAACAGTTTCCCCAATGTGTAAGAAAGATTGCTTTCAACACAGTCCTTCTCTCCCCACCTGTCAAAACGAAGTTCAGAGTTGGAAGTCTCATATATTTGATGCAGATCCTTAGATAGCTTAAGTCAATCTAACTCCATCCATTCAATCACTTGGAAAAGATCACTTTGTCACAGTTGAGGATCTACCTTCATCCTCCTCCACAAGTGAGCACAGATACAGCTTCCTCTTATCACTTCATATAAAAAAGGTCTCACAAAATGTGTGAATTTCTTTTAACTATGTTAAAGTTCATTTTGTTTAAGTATGCAGTTCTCTTGCCTGAACACAAACAATATGTGCAGCTATAATTTTCCTTGCAACTAATTTGCCTTCCTTGTTGTGAGTGATTAAATGGCTTTGTCACATTTAATTGGCAGAGAAGTAAGCCCCTTTAAATATATGGTAATTGGGCTTTGTATTTCTTTTTTTTTTTTTTTTTTTTGGTCTACCCTCGTTAAAAGTTTAGTTACCTTTCTTGGAGCTGACTTCACAAACACATAAGTACTTCTCTGAGTTGTTTTGTAAAGCACAACTAATTAATACAACTGAGTTAAGTAGGAGAATCACAGCTCATAAATAAAGATAAGAAAATTATAAGAGGCATGACTGATAGGCATGTAATTACCTGCTTGGGAGGCGGCCTGATCTGGAAGAACCAGTAGAGATTTGGGAGGCAGGAAATCCTGTGTCATAATCCTCGTTCCACCCGTGACTTGTGTTGCTGTAGGCAAGTTGCTCTGCCTCTCCTTGCCCAAACAGTAGTCGCTGAATGAGAGTCACGTAAGGATATATTAATGGAATAGACAAAGCAGTTGAAACACTCCAAGTGGGATTTTAGTACTTGTGAATATTAGAATCATAGCATGGTTTGGGTTGGAAAGGTCCTTAAAATCATCAAGTTCCAACCCCTCTGACAAGGCCAGGGACACCTTCCACAAGACCAGGCTGCTCAGAGCCCCATCCAACCTGGCCTTGAGCACTCTCAGGGATGGGGCATCCACAACGTCTCTGGGCAACCTGTTCCAGTGCCTCACTGCCCTCCCAGGAAAGAATTTCTTCCTAATATCTCATCTAAACCTACTATCCTTCAGTTTAAAGCTAACCCTCCTTGCCTTATCACTATATACCCTTGTAAAAACTTCCTCTCCAACTTTGTTGTAGATACTGGAAGGCTGCTAGAAGGTCCCTCAGAGCCTTCTCTCTGGCAGGCTGAACAACCCCAACTCTCTCAGCTTGCCTTCATAGGAGAGGTGCTCCAGCCCTCTTTGTGGCTCTCCTCTGGACTCACTCCAGCAGACTCCCCACACTTACACCGGGGATCCCAGAGCCGAATGTAGCACTCTAGGTGGGGTCTCATGAGAGTGGAATAGAGGGACAGAATTGCTTCCCTTGACCTGCTTGACATGTTTCTTTTGATGCAGCCCAGGATACAATTGGCTTTCTGGGCTGCAACTGCACATTGACAGCTCATGTGCAGCCTTTCATCCACCAACACCTCCAAGTCCTTTTCCCCAGGCTGCTCCATATTAAAGGAGCTGCTCCAAATTTTCTTGCAGCGTTTTCCATACCTTGTTCAGAACTGAGGAAAAGGAGACTCATCACTTTTAAGTGCTTACTCCTTGAAAGATAAACAAATCTGATTTTGTTACTCTAACTGATTGGGATGCAGATAGCAAGAAAGGAATATTCATGGTTAGTTAAATGATCCTGTAGAGAATGTTGCCAAAGAGCTGCTGATAGAACAGAATCAAGATTTTATGTGTCTTTCAACCATGAACAAGAAATTGGCGTCAATCCTCAAAAAAAAAAAAAAAGTCCCAAGTCTCAGTTATTGTCAATTAATAATGAATTAATCCAAAATTTTACTCAAAAGCAATGTTTATAAAAGGATCTTGACTCCTCTTTTGTAACATCTCACTCCTACAATAGACAGAGGAAACAAAATCTGAAGATGGGGAAATCTGAGAGGAAGTAAACTGAAGGTTGAGTCAACACTGTAACCTTGCAGTCAATGGGTAGATGTAAAATCCTGAAATGCACACATCTGCTTCAGTGAGCTTTGTTGATCCCAATCCAGATCATTCATTTAGACAGATAGGGGGAAATTCCAGTCACTTCCACAGCTTTCCTCAATATTCGGACCTTAATGTGTGTGAGGTGTCTTACAAATGCAGTTGGAATATCTGTGTTTTCCCATGTTACAAACTGTAATAGTGACTTGTTTATACTGTCTCACTGAATAACATTTGAAGTTATTTACCTGCCTTGAGTCTGAACAAATCACCCTTCTAATTTGTTGGGATTTAGTATGGGTCTGGTGAGAGGATTCGTACATTACCTCCTTCCAGGAGCCAGTGCACGGGCTTTAGGGCACAGGAAGAGGAGCAAACCTAGGTTCCTCCTAGTACAGTATGTAAATCCTTTCTCTTTTCAGTGTATTTAACTCAGAAGAGATTTTTACCTCCACTCAGTTGATTTAATTAATTCAGGCCAAGTCACCTTGCATACATGCCAGACCACGACACTGTGGCTTCTCTTGCCTCTATACATCTGTAATATCCATTCACAAAAAAGTCTTGAATTTCCTGTTGGGGTGGGTAACTGCACCTTTACAAGGCTGAGAAACAAATAGGTTGACCTTTTTAATACTTTTCTGTTCTGAGTCATTGCTGAGCAAACAAACACTTCAATCGTGAAGAAAAGAAACTAAGAAAATGTCAGAGTGGGACAGAGGAGCTGCATGTTTGTCCATGAGTGCTGAACATGTCAGGAAATGTAGAGAATAAGTGGAGACATCTTTGACCTTCACCTGGGAGGACAAATCAGAGAGGTGCCAGTAAAAAGTCAGGCTAATGAAAGGTATTTTGCCTTTTTTGTTGCAAAATTTTTCTCACGTAGGTACTTCTAAGATAATGACTACAATAATACTGCAGTTGCACCAAATGGAAACCAGCCAGGTCCTAGGTCTGTTTCTGGCAAGTAGCTAAAGCACTTTGTACCTTTGATACTGTTCCATGAAACCAGGAGGATGAATCATGAAAGGGTATTACAGAACATGAAAATATAACAATGAATTGAAACATTTAAGAAAGCTGTTTTCATCAGAAGGCAGGTAAAGAGGTAAAAGGCAGGAGAAATTTGACTGATCTCCGCCTGACAGTTTTGAATAGTTGACTCAGATGAGGCAAGGTTATTTGAATCAGGATCCCAGACAGATTTCAGAGCTCTCCAACAGAAAAGCCCAAAAGCAGAAAGACAAGCATGAATCAAATTTCAAATACTCTGGAAGAAAAAAAAAAAAAAAGAATTAAGAAGCCATACAAGTTGTAACAAATAACATGAGCCAACACAATATCTGGCATCAGGATGGTGGCGTAAGATCTGCCCAGGATTACATCACTCTGCAAGAGCTTGCCAGCAGTAGCAGGTTGCTCACAGCAAGCTCTGAGGGATGACAGCAGCCCTGCCAGTTCAGAGGAATGCTTTGTGCTATACAGCGTGCCAGGGGAACGAATGAGCAAGCCAAAGCAAGGGAGGAAAGAAGGAAGCATTGTTTGGAGAACAAATGGGATATTTGCACTCAGGTGTGCAAGACAGTGACCACTGGTACTCAGAAACATCTCCATTAGTAAAAGGCTGGCAAGAGAAAAAAAAAAAACTTGTTCTTACCCTGGCTAGCTGGCCATCAGTGAGGGGGGTGCACTACCTTAGGGAGAGTGATCTGGCAGAGGCTGAGGCAGGGCTATGGAATAGTTGTAAGGAATCTGACGTCCCTCTTCATGCAACAAGGACTGCAACACTGAAAGGTTTCAAGCAGGAGAGTAATGGTATGTCCATCGATTTTTCCTGTTCATTCTCTCTCAAGGTGAGTTGCTTGCTGAGCTAGTTGTAGGCAAATTTTCAGTCACATTAGTAAGACTCTGACCAGAGATTCCTGGAGGTAAGTATTTAAACTAGGCACTGCAGGTGGCTTTGCAAGCATCTGCAAAGCAAGGAGTGGGTGAGAGGCTGGCATCCAGGGTCTGAACCCCAAACTGGTTAAAGTACAGGATTTTTTTTTTTCCTTTTCCAAAGGAAATTTGCCCTCATTTGTTATGGGTGATTCCCCTTTAGCAAGAAGGCATAAAAACCTGCCATAAGAAAAGTGCTTTTGTCAAGGTTTGTGAGACTACAGAAACAGTGGTGGGCCCAAGCCCTCAGTGATAACAGTCATCCAGAGCTAGGATTGCTTTAGACTTCACAGGACCTCTGGCACTGCTCTATGCAAGAGGTGGCATTTCCTGTATTTCATAGCAGCTGGCCACTCTTGGGGACTGTCAGTAAGCAGCTTCTGCACTTAAGTGGATAAATTATACAAGTCATACCTCCAAACTGTATTCAGCCAACCATGTGTGCATTGCATATCTGACCTATGCAGGCACTGCAGTTTGATGCCCTGTGGCCACACAGAATGGCTCTCCACCCCATGGCACTCAGTTGACCAGACCCGATCTTCATGTATGCTGTGTAGAAAATCCACACATGCTATAAGACAGAGTAAAGGCCTTCATTACACTGCCTCAAGCCTCCAAAATCTTTGTGACGCCCTTGAGTGCAAAGCTCAGCTCACACGATGTTCGTGATTGTGAAAAATAAGAATTTTTCATCCAGTTCTGGAACTTTCACTTTCCAGTGAAAGCCTTGCAAGGCTTTTTTCTGGGGAAGAGTAGTATCATGAGGGGCTGTGAAAACACAACAGATGCCACTTGTCCCACATCATGTCACTTTTCATTAGCTCTAGACTTCTCTTTTTGAGCTAAAGTACATTACTAGAAGAGGCATCACTTCTGTTTGCACCAGCTAACATGGCCTGCGCCCCAAGAATGAAATCTTTGTAGAGAGCTTTTCAAAGACCCACAGTTATTGCAAGTAAAGCAAAATAACACTTTTGGATTTTTTTTCTGACCACATCTGGATGTGGATGTGATCAGCCCTGTGTTCTGTCCTAGTGTTGCCTGAAACAAAACTATTTGTCCCATGAAGCCCTGTCTAAACTTATGCTATTGCAAGTATGACAGTAAACATTTTAAAACACAGTTATTTTAATTTCTGTGACATGCCCTTGGACTCTGTTGCATCAACTGCTGACAGAGTCAAAGACCTGACAGCAGACTGGAGGTGGCGTTTCTTGCCTTTTTTTTTCTTTACTCTTTTTACTATTTTAGTCATCTAGTAATATCAGAGCTGCAAACCAAAGCAGATGTGATTGTCTCAGTTGCCACTGGGACGGAAGTGGCATTGTAAGTAACAGGATCCAGACCACATAGCACTTTAGAAATCCAATTGCAACACGCCAGTATACAAATAATGACAAATAGGAAACCACTGCAGCCTTTCAAGCATCAATGCAGAGCTTTCACCAGGACTATCACCATTGTCAGCTATTTCATTCATACCTCTGAGTACCATCTTACCTAGAGTGTGCTGCAAAAGCTCCTTCTCAAAGCTGCCTGTTCAGCTTTAATGAGAAAAGGAAATGGTAGGCAGAATTAAACTAATTGAGCTATCACAGTTATGGCAACCCTAAGAATGGCTGAATCAATAAGAAGTGAAAAGGTATATTAAGGGCAATGAAGACTTTTAAAAGGAAGAATGCCATTGAGAAGGGCAAGGTTAGAAAATCATCATTAAAGCTAAATATAAAGGTATTAGAAAAGACTCAGTCAGCTTGAAAGACATTATCTTCACAGAATTAAGAATTCTAAACCAGCTTACACAGTTTTCCAGTACAAGTAGTAGTTGTTCTTATCACAGCAGATTTTTCCTGAAATTTTGTGTCAGCATCCACTGTATGTAAATCATCCTGTCTATGGAAAACAGTTCTTTTAACTAAACCATAGGCGTTTTGATATCTAGAGCAATTTTGCCTATCTTTGTATATTTTTAGGTGACTGATGCCTACAGAACATCATCTGTAGGTAAGAGAGTACTTGAATGGCTAATTTATTTCGTATTTGCAGATATAATATTGAGTCTGATTCTGCTAGCAATTCTAATACTGCAGTGTGGAAAAAGCTGGAACGCTCTGATTCTTACCGTATTTTCCAACAAATGCTTTCATTTCAAGGAGCTTTTCAAGAAGCACAATTCTTATGGTTAGTAAAACTGGCAACACTCTTAGAATAGACTTTGATAGTAATCAGATCACTGATTTTGCTGGACTTCTTTGATTATTACATGGTCTTTCATTTATTTATGTAATAACTTACAGGAATTTATTTTTACATGTTATTTTCAAAACTGTAAGTTCAAGTCCTAAGCTTTTTATGTATTTATTAGAACCGGAAATAGTTATAGAGATAAGTAATTCTTCCGTTGAAAGCTTATTGACTGTATTATATAAAGTCCTGTTTCATTTTCCAGTCAAATAATTGGAGTACATGTAAAATACTTTAGAGCCTAATGTTACTAAACAGTACAAAATATCCACAGGGTCCTATTAATGCAAATACTATAATGTGTAATTTTCATTTCTTTTTTTCCCCTCCTCCTTTTTAAAAGTGAATGAAAACCAGACCTGTTCTGACTCCCTAAGACTACATGGTGAGGGTGTTTCGTTCATGTGTATTTCTGAGTATAAAACAGAAGCAAGTTTATTCCATTTTGCATTTCCAAGTGAAAAGTACAGAAAAGTATATTTTGAAGTGCCAAGGGAAATTACTGAAGCAAAGAGTTCAGATGACAATGCTGTGCTTGTCTTGTAAGGAGCACAGGTTACATGCACTGTGCTGACCTCATTGACACGACTGTGTCACATGACAGAAGCTATCCTGTGATTTTAAAATTCATGTTGATTGTATGGTGCAAGCATATCCTACAGTATTCCCATCAAAGTTCCAGTTTCACACTTTTGTCCTCCTCAGGCTACAGCTTCAGAAGGAATCTCACGCCAGAGAGTTGTGCGGAGGAGAGTTAGGTATCTAAAAGATGGATATTTATATCCATACCAGTTGCACTGTGCTTCCTTTAGCACTGATGGTCAGAAAGAGAGTCCTCCAGAGAGCAATTCATCTCACTCCAAGGCAAATGGATGAAGTAGATCAAATGAACTGCTCTCTGGAGACACTTGTTGATGGTTTTTATCTATATAGTGTGTTTTAGGCATCAATTTATGTGGTGAGATGTACCCCAACTTCAGTGTCTACCTTGTTCTGAAAACAGAACCGATCCATTTAAGCTATTTAGGCCTTCACCACATGGAGGTCATGTGCAAAGACTTTGGTGGGATCCCAAGGTTACTGGAAATTTGCAGCTTCCTCAAGACTGCAGAGGTGCCTCTGCAGGGCTCAGCATAAAAGCAAAGAAGCTGATACTCCCACTAGTGTACACCTCCCAGCCATTGCCATAGCCATGGGCTCTGACTGTGCTGCTGTCTCAGGGTACGCTGATAGGGCGTGACAAGGCCACTCCACCAACTCTTTGCCACCTGAAAAATAGCCTTAGGATAATAAAAATAACAGGTATAACAGGTTTTGTTACCTATTTGTGTGAAGACAGCTCACCTAGGCTGTGGTAGAAGCCAGTACCTGAAGTTCAGATTTTGCAGCACCCAGCTACAACAGCTGCTCTTTTCCTTAGCAATTTTCACCAAAATACCATATCTGACACAGCCTCTTCCATGGGGTGCTGACCTAATCAACATTTCCACACTACAGCTTACACTGCCATGGCCACACCTGGAGCTGATACAGGATATGTCTTAAAAGAAGCTCAGACCATGGAAAGGCTACAGGGGCTAGAGATCTGTCTGGAAATGCAATGTGGTGGTAGCAGCTGGGGACAATGTATTGCTGGGGGGAATGACACTGCAGGGCAGCCCTGGAGTGGTGCTCACACCCATGCTCAGCGAGCTGACCATGAGATTTCATTAGCTCCTCTGGCTGCTGGAAAAAATATCCTGTTGTGTGAAAAGGCACAGTCTCAGATTTCTAAGACGCTGGGTCGCTCTGCTCTTTAAATGAGAGTTCTTCACTCTTTTCAGTCTGAACCAATATAGACTTGTGAACAAGGGAATGGTTAATTTTTGAAGGAGAGGTGACACAGGGCAGTACTACTATATCATTTACCTTGATTCGCTACAGCTTTATAATGCCCATTGTGACACTCTTTAAAAATTGACTAAATTCAGATCTCAAGTTCATTTCAATAGCAAGTAAAATGTTTGGCTTGCAAAACATTGCTTTCAGTAGGCTGAATGTGTTTCCGTGCTAGCAGCTTCCAGGAAACTCTTAGGTTACAATTACAAGAAGTCAAAACTGCAGCAGCAGAATTGTTAACTGGAAGTCAGAATTTCCTTTACACCATTCCTTTTATGCTTAGTCCTAAACTAGCTTAAATACTTTGCTTCTTTTCCTTTTCTGTTGTTTTGGTACATTTCTGACTTTTTTTTCTTTTATTTTTTTTTCTATCTGATCTTAACTTCTAATTATTTGTTCTTTGGTTTGGTTCTTTTACCTTATACTGGATTATCTACTTAGAGCAGCATTTTCCAACAATCTTTCTCCTTTTCTCCTTTTAATTTATTATGAATATGTCCAATTCTTAAAAAACAGGTAAAAGACATATTTTATATTCCTTTCCAGGCTTCCTAATTACATAGTCAGTAATCCAAAGAAGAATGTAAGCAGGAAAGCCAGTGATAAGAACAATAAAAACAGAGTTTGTTCTAAGGAACAAAACTGAACTATATTTCACAAACTAAAGTAAGAAAAGAAAAGAAGATAATGGATGGATTCAGTTGGAAGACACAGAGATTTTTCTTAAAATAATAATTTAGACAAAAACTATGAGTGAAGATAACTAGAGCATAGTAGAAAATCTAAAGAAAATGAGGCATGATTTAATAAGTCTCAGCAAATAAGTAATCTAGGGTCAATACTGCAAGACAGATCGTATCCCAAACAGATCTGTGCTCTGCAAACTTACATGACCCCTTTTTTTTAAATTAAGATGCAAGGAGATGACCCTGAGAAAGTGAGAAAGTGAGAAAGGACAGGGCTGGAATGTTGACTGAATGAGCCACAGGGACAGAGGACAGTTTGTTTGATCATATCTGTCTGTTATTTGAACAAAGATCTGAAAGATGATAAGGACTGAAGACACTGCCCAACATATAAGGGATTTCTTTGCAAAGTAAATGTAAAGGTTGTTAAAAGCAGGAGTATTTGTATTTAATGAGACTTTAGTCACTGTTATAGGATTGAGCAACTGTGCTGAGAAATGGAAAAAAAAATTTTGTTAGAAGAAGTGACACACACAAGGCTTTATGTTTGCTTACTTACTATATATGTAAAATATAAAAATAATTTGTTTATATGTCATTTTGCATTACAAATGTAATTACAGACAATTTGTCACTGCTGTAGCCCCTGGAATGTGGCAGTAAATCTGTGGGCCTGTGTCTCCTTACAGCTGCTTTTGTATTTGGAGTATAAGCCATGTTAGCTTCTGAAGGATTTATCAGTTTAGAGGACAGCTGTGAAGTGTTTAGGAGAGAGCCTAAGGACAATATGGCTCCAAAATAAATCTGGGTTTGGCTACTCCAGCTTCTGACATGTGCGACTTTTCTACAAAGAAAAGACAGAGCCTTCCAGGGATCTCCTGCAATTACTTACCCACTCTACACCACAAACTTTGAAGGCTTCCTTCTGTGAATTTTTCTTGTCTAACAGAAAAAAAAAAAAGATAACATGTTGGTGGATGAATGGATGGAATACGTATTTTTAAAAAGCAGCCAAAACATTCCAGCAGAAGCACATTTTTCCATGAGAGAAAAAAAACCAAAACAAAATGTGTTACTCACATTGCTTAATAAGCTTCTGGAAGGCTCTTAGACTTTATTGTTGCTACAGATACTGCTACACAAAACAAGGCAGTTGTAGCTTCCAAACTGACAATAATCCAATCATTTTGTTGACAACTTATTTTGATCACACATACAATTAAAGTTAAATGTAAGGCCTGTTTGGTAGGTTTTGGAGGACAAAGGAGTCACAACTAAGCGATGTAAAACTTCTGTAGCAAGTAAGATCAGTTCTGAAGGTAAATTTCTTTTCTGTTTCTTTGTTTGCTGGGTTATTTTGAAACAATATAAATACATACCTAACAGTACCTCAGGAAAACCTAGAAAATCAAACCTAAAATTACATTTTTCCTTTGACCTTGCAAAGGAAGGCTGACAAATGCTCATGAGCATCCATTCATCATGTTTCATAGGAAAATAGGAGGCAGTGGGCATCTGGAGCTGGTCTGTATTGATTCATTCACAGGGAACCTCCTCCAAGACCACTGTGCCAAACAGGTAAATAAATTCCAACTGCCCTTCTAAGAAATCTGATTTTTATTCCAAGTCACATTGATCATTGGTCACATTTGAAAGGTTTCAAATAATCATTTGAATTATTATTTCGATTAGGAGATGTTGCTTTTAGGTAGTATTGCACCAGGTTATAAATTCCACAGTCTGTTGTATAGTCCAGGATTGATTAGGAAGCATTTATCTTTGTTTCTTGGAAAGACGTCTGCCTTTTGCCCTTTCATTCTAGTACTAGTCATGACAATTTCAGCATTCCATTTTACAATTTTCTTATTTACACCACATCCACAAATTCATTCTTGCAGCTGTTCCTCATGTGATTATTTCTAGTAGTGTCATTGTGGTTCCCCATGTGAATAAGGCTTATTGTTGTGGTATACCATCATAGGCTACAAATATGCAAAAGGAAACTTTCAAACCCTTTAAATATTTTTTTTTGGTTTTGGATATGCATTCTTTTGTTGTTGTTTTGCTTGGCTTTTCTGTTTTGTTTCATTTTTAGATTGTGCTGCAGCGATTTAAAAGTAGCTTAAAAAAGTTTAAAAACTGCTTCCACTGATTTACTTTAAGAAAGTCAACCACAGGCTAGCAAGCAGTTTCAAAATCTGCCAAACCAAATCTTTAGCCAGTATAAATTAGGAATTGTGCAGTTATTTTTAACAGCTGCATATTGTAAAAAATTATAAATATCTATACAATAAAATACTCTATAATAATTTCAATTCTATGACAGTATATTACATTTATTTGTGACAGTATAACTGCCATGATTATTATAAATGACAGCCAGAGGAGCTGATAAGGAAGAAAGCATAGGACTAAAGCCTAGTATTTTAAGGTATATATTTATACCAGAGAAACAAGCTTCTAAATACACCACTATAATGGATACTGCTCAAGCGTGCACTACATCAAAAAAAAAAAAAAAAAAAATCTGTTTTCCTTTTCTTGTGAACAGCATATGGTGAAAACTGTTCCCCGGTGCCAGCAAGGATTTCTGCTGTACCATTACTTAGCCATGGAGGTACAAACTATGAGCTTTAGGACTCATATATAGAGCAAACAATCACTGCTTTGCTTTGCTGAATACAGCCCATGTCCTATTATTTATTTCCCAGCTTGTGTCTTGGAACTGTACCTAATCTGACCTTGAAACAAAGAATGCTTATACAAAGTCTTTGTGTATGAAGAAGTTACCTACTCAGAATGAAAGAAAAAAAGCGATTTATGTCTGGTTAAGGGTATGAGCAGGCAAGTCAATGATGGAGGATTTGTGGTCATACAGACTACTTTGAATTACAGTGTCTGCAGGAGACTTTGTCAGTACTTTAAAGTTTTAAGGGGTTATCAGCCATCTCCTCTATGCTTCTCTCCATTTAAAGAGTCACAAGTATTAACACTACAAGAAATCTATTACTGATTTGAGTAGTAACGCACGTAGTCTCATAATAATAAGTATTGCACATGAACACTGATGAAGTACCAGAATAATTCTGCAGTTTTAATGGAAACATCTTTGAACAACATCAAGAAAGACTGATTACAGATAAGAAATCTGGGAATCAGCATATGGTCTGGCTTAGCTGGAAAGCTCCATCCCTATTGAGCACAGAAATCCTCTTCTAAAGGCTACAACAATCCTTAGGCTGATGACAAAAGAAAGATGTGTCCTATGGTTTGCACTTAAGCAGCTGCTGGTGGTCATGGCATGACATGAAGCATGTCTTAAAAGTGCACAGAAATCCTAAACAGCAGTTCAGAGAAAGCTGTGAAGGTAAAAATAAACATTTTAAATCCTGAGAGTTAAACTCTAAATCATTTAAAAATCTGAGTTTATTGGTACAAAACCTCATGCATCTATTTTTACTTTTGTTAAATGTAGCCTTTATTATCCTGGTCCAACACAGACTACCTGAACTGAGATTAGACCAACCAAAATAATCTAAACCAAAATAAGAGTACCCACTCAGAAGCCACTCCTGCATTTATCTCCTAACAGGTCTAAAATCACACAGTTGTCATACTCCATTCAAAATATAAAGAAATGATGTTGAATTGTGTTCATAGTACATGACTAACTCCCCCAAAAATGCTAGTAATACTCATGGGTAAATTCTTACAACTAATGTTGAAGAGGGAATACTATCCCAGGAGTCTGAATTTAAATGATTAATTGACTGATAAACTGAAGGAAGTGTCATAATGGTCTTATGAGTCAGTGGAAAAGACAGGAAGTGACTTACTCTGTATCCTCATCAACTTGCATGGGAATTTATTTACATAGAACTATAGTTAATCCTAGTTGGAGTTTAGACAGGGCATGGGAGGTAACATCACCTCTGCTTTTAAGAAAAAAAGAATCTACATTTTTGCTGTGCATCAGTGCAGGGAGAGATGTAGTTGCTTATATTAATTCTGTAACACCTCTGCTGAACATGAGACATATAACTGGAAAAATGAGCTTTTAAAACTGCACGTGAACGGGTAGATAGATCATAGAGTATTTACTTGGTCCTTCCTCAAGTTTCTGTTGGCGGGGTTACAATAACTAAGCCTAAAACACAGTTACACTGAAACTAATTACATCATTCTGCAAAGCAGGTAATGGAAGTTACTGAGAAATTTCCACTAAATGCTTCTTCCCTTCACCACGTGATATACCCAGGTTTCCAGGTAAGGAATAAACCAGAATATTTTTTTGCATTTTCATTTATGAGCATCAGAAACACACATACATGAACATTCTTTTTTTGAGTAATACAATCAAAGGAAACTAATTTACAGTGTATCTGCTCAGTGGAAATACATATTTATTCTACCTTACACTAAGTAGCTTTTTCAGGTGTTTGAATTTAAGATGAACTTTGTAGACCTGGGGACACATCTGACAAAAAATGGTGTTAAGAAGGCATATTATGGATTTTTCTGGGGTGGATCAGTGTCATATAATCAAAGTAATTTGTAAATGTTTGTACATTTCTGTACATAAACGTTGGCACACTCATTTTCCAATGGGAGCGGGAGGAAGAACTAAAAGCTGCTATTCAGAAATATCTGTGTGGACTGCTTGTATAATACGTAGAAGGATAAATTAGCTGCATCTGGGAAAAAGTCAGTCTTAGCCAGATGCAGAAAAAGCACTCCATTATTTCTTTCAGGCTTTGGGAGAATTTTAAAAAGGAGCTCAAATGAACCTACTCCAGCACATCATTGAATGGGTTAGTATGTTTGAAGACACTAAGAAAGCTATCTATTGGCAGTATTGTTTTACTTTAACTTTTACAAGTATACAGAACTAATAACTCAAATTACTCATAAAATGCTTTTATGTTTTTATGCTTCTGCCTTTCAGACCACAAAAAAAGAGAGCATCTTCTCTGGATTTTAAGATCTATTTATAAGTTGTTTATTATTTGCAAAACCTCCAGTCTGTCTGCATATCTAATGTTTAGTGAGTACTCCCTTGCTTCCTCTGCTCTTTTAGCACTTCCTCTGGCTGTATCATAGAATATGACGAGTTGGAACGGACTCATCAGGAAGAGTCCAACTCCTGGCCCTATGCAGGACACCCCAAGACTCACACAATGTGCCAGAGAGCATTGCCCAAATGCTTCTTGAACTCTGTCACGCTTGGTACTGTGACCACTTCTCTGAGGAGCCTGTTCCAGTGCTCAACCATTTTCTGGATGAAAAACCTTTCCTGATATCCAACCTAAACCTCCCCCAACTCAGCTTCATGCCGCTTCTGTGAGTCCTGTCACTAGGCACCAGAGTGAAGACATGGGTACTTTTGATGGCCATTATCCCATCAGTTCTTTTCCCAGATGCAGGGATTTGCAGGCCAGAAAGGTTACGATGATCACTGAGCTTGACCTCCATAGCAACATACGCCAAGAAATTTTATAATGTTAACTCTGCTTTGAGTTACGTAGCCTGAAGGATGACTTAGAGCCCAGGATTTAGAAAAGCTATTGAATCTTAATTTAGCAATTGGGAAATAGAGTGTAGTGGGTCCTTAGGGATATTATACCAAATAAAGGATATTATACCAAATAACTCCTCTTGTGTCTAAAAGAAAAGGATCCTGTGCATATTCTAAATGAGTATAATTTCCCCTGCCATTTATTGGTTTTCACTGTCATCTTACCTGACAGATTAAAGAAACTTTTAATATTTCAAATTCCCTTGCAAATTCTAGCACATTACGATCAAGGTTTTGTATAAGCTGAACAGATGCTCCTTCATTCTCTCACTGCTAGGCAGATTTCCTGGCTTTTCCAGTTTGTCAATTACCTGTGTTAAAATGAAATATCACTATTCAGTAAAAGTTCAAGGAATGACATATATGATAACATCATTGATACTTAATATTCCTTTGTTTTTAAATGAAAAGTTTGTACCATAAGCATGAATCTTTTTGAGTTGTTCATAACCACACTGTAACACCTCTCTAATTTGACTTTAAAATATTCTTTGTACTTAGATGCCTTTCCTCCCTATAAATGTTTATGGCTGCATCTATGTTATTAGCGATTATTTCATGTTTTCTTTACCTAAGTTAATAAATATTTTTAATAGGATTGGGATAAAACCAAATCCTTGATGTACTTTGCTAAAGAGGTCTCCAATCAATGATGATTTTCAAGGTACAATTACTTTTCAGATCTGCACGGTAATTACTGTCATGCTATTTTAGCTCCAACCCCCTCTGTTTTACATTTCTAATAGACAACAAATCAGTTTCTCTTCTTCATTTCTGGAACAAACACAGGTTGATTATTACCATGAATGATTTAGAATCCCACAGAATTTTGTGACATGACTTAGTTGGTCCTGAAAATTTAAATGTTTTTACCTTTACCAGTTGCTATTTAGCATCCTTACTAAGTACTGATTGAATAAAACATTTGCAATTATATCTAGAAAGCATTACTGCACTATCCAGGTTTCTATTAAAAAAATAAATGCTTTTATACATCAGTATTGTTATTGGAAGTTGTGTATGTCGAAGTAGCAGGGAAACTGTGCCACTGTCTAGATTTTTTCCTTTCTTGATCCTGAAATTTTAAAAAATGTATTCCCCTTGTCCTGTAGGTAATGAGTCAAGACTTTTCATTCATATATTTAGCTACTATGAATTATTCTTATTGTTTCACGACTGTAATTTACCTTTCTTGCTTATCAGCTCACCCACTTTTCCTTTTCTCACTTTCACAAAATTGTCACTTTTTTTTTCTTTCTTTAACTGAATGCATTTAGCTGAAAAGAAACTTTGATGATTGTCATAATATCATATTTTGGGTATCCTGTACAGTTTTCTTAAATAAACTATTTACCTATTTGATGTATTTTTCCTACATATCTCTATCTAAACAGGTGTCATTTAGAGTTTTTTTCAGACTTGGAACACTGTCCCCTTTGCAGTAAAGTGCATATATATGGGAAATATTTATAGATAGCAAATATAGTTAAATTATTCCATTTTACATTCAAGTAACCATAACATCAGTAGACTAGACTATTTTTATTTTGGTCAGAATTGTCAGAATTCAAAGCACCTGAGAGCTCTGAAAATAACATATGATTTTATTTTAGAAAAAAATCATCAATTATTTAGATAAAATCTAGGGCATGTTTACTTGTGGAGGTTTGAGATCTAGACATATCCCACAGACTAAGATACAAAAATTAAAAAGAAGATCCTAAGATAGCTCATTCCAGCTAGATATCTACATAGCTGCTCATCCAGCTCTGTATTCAGATACTGTCTCACCCTTACTCAATTTTCTGATTTATCAGCCTAAACATTGACTCATAAACACATCGGATCTTGGATTTGTGAAATCAGAAATTCTAGTGATCTTTAACGGGCCTGATAAGTCACCCTCTCTGCACATTTTCTTTCCTAAAGAAGGAATAAACCAATACGAACACTCCAGTTGTGACAGACATCCTACTAAAAACCCATAGCTCGTGCATTTGAATAAGTGAGCCTTTGATGCAGGTCTGCAAAGTATCTGCAGAAGAGATCCTTCGCCAACAAAAACTCCGTGTGAGCTACAAATTTGTGTGTGCGAACATTTTTCATCCTCTGTCTTTCTGAAGGAATTACCTCAATTATTTGGAATCTTATTAGTTACAGATGTGTCTGTGGAGCATCCAAAAAAGTAGGCCTTTATCCAGCATTCATTTCTTGAGTACGTATCCTCAGACGCAAGCACTCTGTGCTATTTTTTTCCACCTGAAAGGCCCTCTATCCCTTGTCCACAGCACTCAGTTGCTCCCTCCATCAGTGGTAAGCTGTATATTCAGTGTAGAGAAGTGTTGTGAGTTTATATAAAAAGGTGCTTAAGAAGATAAAGGTGTGCAAGCCCTAATGCTCTCAAATGCTCCAAGCATTTAAACGTGTCTAATGCCTGCACACCTTCCAGCACTGCTGCTAGCCAGGCTCTCAGCAGGAATTCACAGTAATTAAGCAAGCTAGAGGCACCATCGCTTTTACAGAACCACAGAATCAAACGCTCAGGGTTGGAAAAGACGTCTGGATATCATCTACTCCAACCCCTAGGGTTGGACCAACCCCAGGGTCACTTAGAGCAGGTTACACAGCAATGCGTCCAGGTGGGTTTTCAGTGTCTCCAGAGAGGGAGAATCCATGCTCTCCTTGGGTAGCCTGTTCCAGTGCTCTGCCAACCTCAGTGAAAAGAAGTTCTTCCTCATCTTGAGGTGAACTTCTTCTGTTTTAGTTTATGGCCATTGCTCCTTGTCCTGTCACTGAGCACCACTGAAAAGAGTCTGGCACCATCCCTTTGACATATTAATATGACATATTTATATGCATTGATGAGATTCCCTCTTAGTCTTCTCTTCTCCAGACTAAACAGGCTCAGCTCCCCACAGTCTCTCCTCCTTAGAGAGATGCTCCAGACCCCTCATCACCTTTGTGGCCCTTACTCGACCGAATACACATGTGCAACTTTGCCTACAAATAGAAACTATTCATGAGGATAAAGTACAAAGGAAAACCTCAGAGATAAAGTTGGATGCATGAGCAGTGCATGCACTTGTTCCACACTGTGGGTGCCGCAGCTTCAGCACCCATTATCCAAGTTTTTGGACCCTCTCACTTATACAGCCCCACATATGTGTGGGGTATGTCTAAAGGCACAGAACCACAGGGTGGGTAAGGTTGGAAGGGACCACAGTGGGTCATCTGGTCCAACATCCCTTTTCAAGTAGGTCATCCCAGACCACACGGCACAGGATTGTGTCCAGATGGTTCTTGAACATCTCCAGTGAGGGAGACTCCACAACCTCTCTAGGCAATCTGTTCCAGTGCATGGTCACCCACACAGTAAAGAAGTTCTTCCTCATGTTCAGGAACTCTCTGTCCAACAGTTTCTGCCTCCTCTTTCTTGTCCTATTTCTGAGAAGAGCCTGGATCCATCCTCTTGGTACCCTCCCTTCAGATACTTGTACACATTGATGAGCTACCCTCTCAGTCGTCTCCTCTCGAGGCTGAATAGGCCCAGTTCCCTTGCCCTTTCCGAATAAGAGAGATGTTCCAGTCCCTTAATCACGTTTGTTGCCCTCCACAGGACTCGCTCCGGGGGCTCCATGTCTCTCTTGCACTGAAGAGCCCAGAGCTGGACACAGCACTCCAGATGTGGCCTCTCTAGGGCTGAGCAGAGGGGGCAGGGTCTCCCTGGTGCAGGTACAAACAGGAGCAGCAGCCGCCAGTTCAAAACCCAGGCAAGCGACCCAAAATCTGCCGCGGCCGCCGCTCCCCGCCGGGGGCGGGCCCGCTCGGCAATGGGTGGGAACTTCCGGCTCCTGCCGGCCCCGCCCCCGCCGCGGCCCTGGGTCCGCGCTGAGCCAATGAGGGCGCGGAGCCGCAGCCGGGCAGGTAACCGGGCGCCCAATCAGAGCGCCGCTGCGGGAACAGGTGGGCAGGGCGAAGCCCCGCCCCCCGCCCCGCTGTTGGCCGCGCCAATCCGGGCAGGGAAGGAGGCAGGGAAGGAGGCAGGGAAGGAGGCAGGGAAGGAGGCAGGGAAGGAGGGAGGGGCTGCCCGCGGCTCCCGGCGGGGCTGCGCTCCCTGCCCGGCCCCCGACGGCCGCCCCCGGCTGTCCGTCCGACCGTCCCTCCGGCGGCCGCGCCGGGAGGGCACCGGGCGGCCCCGCGCCGAGGGAGGGAAGGAAGGAGGGAGCCGGCGGGAGCGGAGGCAGCAGCAGCAGCAGCAGCAGCAGCCATGGCACTCGTGGCCCCGGAGACTCGGAAGTTCACGCGGGCGCTGAGCAAGCCCGGCACGGCGGCCGAGCTGCGGCAGAGCGTCTCCGAGGTGGTGCGCGGCTCCGTCCTGCTGGTGAGTGCGGCGGCGGCCCGGGCGAGGCTCCGGCCGGGGCCTCTTGGGACTGCGGCGGTGTTCCCGGCGGGGGAGACGGGCCCTTCGATCCCTCCCGGGATGTCGCGGCGGCGGTGCGGGCTTTGATCCCTCCCGGGCTTTGCGGCTCCTCGGCCGCTCCGGCGGGGCGAGGTGCGGGAGCAGCCGCAGGCGGAGCGGGCACGCTCCCGGCCGCCAAGGGAGCGCGCCGCCGTGGGATGCGGCGCCCGGCGGGCACGGCTGGGCGCTCCCGCCCCATCCCTGCAAACTTCACCTGTGGAGCGAGCGGGCGCAGCTGGCGCCCGGCCTGACGCGACCGAAGCGCTTTCATGTGTGCCGAAGTAGCGGCGCAAAAGAGATTTTTCATCTCGTTGCTCTCTACTCTCTTTACAACTAGGACGCAGTTTTTTTGTTGTGTCGTGTAGAATGGAAGATGAGTGCTGGCAAGTGTAGCAGGAATGTTTCAGTGTGTTGTTTATCCCTGCTGGCTGTACCGTGCTAGCTCATGGCAGTTGCTTTTTCAGCGCACAGTTCAGCGCGTTCATCTGATTTGAACTGCTGAAAGTAAATTTGTGTTAAGGCGTTTAGTCTACAGAAAAGAAGACTGAGAGGGGATGTCATCAGTGCCTATAAGTATCTCAAAGGCAGGTGTCAAGAGGATGGTGCCAGATTCTGTTCAGTGGTGCCCAGCAGTAGGACGAGGAGCAATGGCCATAAACTAAAACAGAAGAAGTTCACCTTAAGAGGAGGAAGAACTTCTTTTCGTTGAGGTTGGCAGAGCACTGGAACAGGCTACCCAGGGGGTCGTGGATTCTCCCTCTCTGGAGACACTGAAAACCCACCTGGACGCATTGCTGTGTAACCTGCTCTAAGTGACCCTGCCTTGGCTGGGAGGTTGGACTGGATGATCTCCAGAGGTCCCTTCCAACACTTAACAGTTCGTGTGATTCTGTTAGATGCTGAACTGAGGCATCTGGGACAGAGGGAGAGAAAGGTATGGTTTTTTGGCCTGTTTGTCTGCAGGTGGTGACATCTTAAACAGCCTCAGCAAGACTTTTCTGAGCTTCTCTCCTGGGGCTCTTATTCATGGTATGCATTTGTTTGCCTTGTGGTTTTGTTATCTCCTAGGGGAATGCTTCAGTAAGCACTTAACCCTGTATAAGTAAATTGGTTTTGGTGCTGGGGTTCCCGATCCTGGAAGCTGATCTGTCATTTGTTTTTTGCTCTTGCTAATCCTATAAATATGGTCTTGTCTACTTTTTTAAACTGCCCTTCGGGACACTGTCTTCTTATAGCTATGTGTTGAGAGAGTGACAAATGCTGTAGCTGTGATTGAAAGACTAATACCTCTCTTTAATAAAACAAAGGCTCTAAAATTAAATTGCTGTTTACTTAAGTATGGGTGATGGAATTTATAAAAACCTAATATGCATAGTTTTGGGTCCACCTGGATGCTGACAGCTTTCCGCAAGGTGCTAGCACATGCATATGTAATAAACATCTGGAATGTATTAGCAGTTGTCTAGGGATCAATTATTTCTTGGGAAGAGTGGAAGAAGAATATATGTGTATATATATATATATATTTTAAAATGTTTTTTGTACTGAGGGATCATGAGAGAGACAGATATTTTCGTGACACAAATGTTTCTTTTGCAGTAGTTGGCAACCTTGCCATTCCCTTCTCTACCTTGAGAAACCTTTTCCTTAGTTCACTTATGACTAGTATCATTGGGATGAGTTGGAAAATATTTATATGATTCTTTAATTAGCTCAAATACATAATAGGGTGATAGGCACTGACATCCCAGGTATTTTTGCCACAACAGCACATTCTGTAGAATTTTATGGCGAATAAAGAAGTGATGGTATAAAGTGGTGTACTGGCTTGATCTTATTCTGGATAAGGTTTTCATCAGTATTTTAGAAAGCAAAATTAGCGGCTTACCATTCATAGTGACTTAACATTCATGTCAGATTTGTGATCCTTTTCTGTTAGCTTGATGCATGAAGCAAAATCCCCATTTGTCTTGTATACAGTCTAGTGCTGAAGTTCACCTTTCAGTTTCAGAAATATTTTGACCCTGCTGATATGTCTCTTTTACTGTCATGAATACTGTTCATTTTATCACTGAACTTCAATGTTCCTGCACACACACTGTTTAAATAATGAAATAAAAGGCTAGTAACTGGAGGTTTACATTTACATTCTACATATTCTTCCTTCTGTTAATGTACTGTAACTCTTTTTGTTGAATATTGTGATGTTTGGAATGAAATTGTATTTTTTTAAAGGAGGACTTTAGGTGGGATAGTATTGTTCTTTGCTATAAGTTTGAAAGGTTGACCTGTTTCTTAGCTGTTGGAATTTCTGGGCTTTGTTATCTGGAAAATCTCTTGGGCTGACCTGGTGAAAATAGGAGTCTTAGAAGTATTATAATAGTGGAATACTCTATTCAGATGTGTGGCTTTAAAGTAAAGAAGACCCACTTCTTTTCCAAAGCTGCCTCTCAAAGCTCTTCTACAGAGCATCTTCTCCAAGATTTTTTGAACTGGCTTATCAACAAAGTGTCTTGCTTAAGACATAGTTCAGCATTGGTAACTAATGTGCTCTTTCTGTGATCACTTGCTCGTGAACAAGTGCTGAGGTTTTCCAGTACTGAAAGACTACTGAAGGTGGTCTTCCATTAACTAGGCTTGCAGTGTATAATCTGGAGGTAGGAAAGAATTCAAACTACTAGTTCATGGTGGATGATCTGTCCAGATCTGCACAACTAAAAATCGCTTCTGAATGTACATCTCTACAGTGGAATGTACTGAGCAGTGATACAAATCATCCAGTCGTTACTTGCAGTAGTAGATAAAAGTGAACTGCGAGTGCCTCTGAGGTTGACTAGATTCTCTAACTTGTTGTTTTGGCTACTGTTACATCCATTTTTACAATAAGCAAAGTATGGCTAGATTAAAAAGCAAAAAAAGTTTTTCCCCATCTTTAAAAGAGGTTTATTAGCTCACATTACTAAAATATGCTAGGTTTTTTCTGTTTTATAAATGTTCTTATGATGATATTGATGAAAGAGGACTGAAAACATCATGTCAGTAGGATAGCATGGCATATCTTAAATTTTCAGATTGCTCTTCATTGGGACTAAAAGTCAGAGACTTTCAACCAGCTGACAGACTAAATAACTTGACTGTGTAGTAAAAAGACATGAAACAGATGTGGTTTACCAAACTAGTTTTGGTCACAGAATGAAGTAAGCTCTCTTGTCAGCATTTGACATCTCATACGTTCTCTCTGTTAGATTTAGTTTGCCGAACCAACAAGTACAGTTTGGTTGGCTAAACTGACAATCAGCTTTCCATTAGGGTGTGAGTCACATAATATGTTTCTTGATTATTTGGTTCAGTTTTTTCTATTTTCTGCTTGACATCCTTGCTGAATATCCTCTTGTGCATTGTTGATGTTGTTTTGACTTCAGACTTGCCACGTGACTTAATTTGATGCCTCTGGCCACCCAGATACGTTTATATCTGAGGGAGAAGACTGTGGGGATGACAAGTCTGTCTCTTAAACCAGCAATCTTACCAAGAGCAGTTTTCAATTCAATTTTAGTATTATGTATAATTGGAAGTGAGCTCTTTAAGTGGTGATGAGAGTTACTCAAGGCATGTTGCATACAGATCAGTAGGACTTCAGGAGGTGTGTGTGGTGTCTGGTTCAATGGTATGTTAATGATAATTTATCTCAGTGACAAAATTACCCTGTATTAAGTTAAGCTGATATTTAAGGATAATAAGCAATTAAGGTAATGTTTAGAATATGACGTTTCATCTGCTTTTGCCTAGCTGTCAATAAAATGCCCTTATTAAATATGCAGATAATGAAAATGTCTAAATATGCCAAATAACGCAGCAAAAGTTGTTTCCCCCATGTCAAAATTAACATTCTGTAGAAGAAACTTGGGATATGGAAAACAGGATGAAATATGAGTAATTCCCAAATTATTCTGTGCAGCTCTTTTTTTGATTTGCATGTGTAAAATAGATTTGTTAACTTGAAGGCTAGAACAGGTATCTTAAGACAGCCTTGGGCTTTATAAGTTAACTTCTTATAAGTTAACTTCAGATACTTGGTAGAGCTCTTGAGTTCTAACACTCTTGTAGAAATGCAGAAATTCAGCTTTTCAGACGTGGGGAAAAATCAATATATCCCAATACTTGAATTTTGTAATGCGTCAAGGACCCTGGAAACTATAGGCCTGTCAGTCTCACTTCAGTGCCTGTTAAAGTTATGGAGAAGATTATTCTGGGAAGTACTGAAAAACACCTGTAA